GACATTTTTATAACTGAATTTTTAGAAAACTGAATCAAATAAAGTTTTTATACAATTTTTTGTTTTCAGATTTTTTTAAAATAGAAAACTATTCTCGAAGTTACAAACTTTGCAAACCCAATATTTGACACTTGGGGCCCGTTTGGCATGTGATATGTTTTAGAGGTTATGTTTTTTGTATTGCCATTTTGTTGTAAGAGTGTTTTCGTTACCAAATTGGAACCATATTTGGTAACGAAAATTTGTTTTAGAAAAGTTACAAATTTGTTTTAGTTCCCCGCTATAGTACCAAAACATAGTATCACCAATTCGGTAATATGGATGATGTGTATTTTTAATGATAAATCACTCGCAATAGAACGAATCCTTATATGATAGGACTATATTAAGTGTTTGGAATCTCAAGAATTGTGGTGGATTGTTAAGTATAAAATTAATTACTAATTTTATTTAAGAGAAGAAGAATTTTGATGTACCAACAGATCTGTGGCTTAGCGGTACCAAGTTTATACTTCTCAAAGGGAGGTCAGGGATTCAAATATCAGTAGAGGCACGTGTGTGAGTTACAACTAGGAAAGAAAAAAAAAATTGATGTTTTTCATTTCTAAATTGCAAACAAAATAAAAATAAAAAATAAACTGAGCTACTAAAAAGAGAAATCAAGAGATAAGGGACATAGGGTATTGATTTCATCACTAACCTCGTACCATAGTCAATTGTCTCAACTATAAGGAATTCATAATTATGCATATTCGGGAACCAAGTGGCTACAATCACACTTTAATTCAATTAAGAAGATATTTATGAATAAATACTAAGTTATAACTCATATTCGGTTGGCACGAATTTTTTACCTAACTACTCTAATCTAGAGTATAGTACAACTCGTTTTTCATAAATTATCAAAACATTCATTCACGCATTTGTTAAGTACCATTGCATGATCACTACTCCTACGAGAAGCCCTTAACCGCCAATCTCGCACAATAAAATTTTTTGAATTAAATTATAATAAAATAAATTATATAATAAAAGATTAATTTTATTAAAACTGATTATAATCATTAAAACCCAATTGCACAGTACAACTAAGTCAATTACTCATAATCATACAATCAATACACATAATTAAAAAAAAAAAAAAAAAAATCCCTAAAATTAATAATAATCAAACCATGCTACCTAGGGTTACATCAATTCGTTAATATGGTAAACTAATACTTACTAGTTATTACTAATTATGATAAACTAAGACACGATTTCAATTGATTTTGCGTTTGGTTAGTACATTATTAGGGGTAAGTTCAAAAAAACCCCTCAAGTATACTTTGAGTAGCATTTTAACCCCCTATTTGAAAAAGTGTACAATAGGCACTCCTAATCTTTTGAAATTGTACAAAATTATTCCTTTGTCAGAAATCTGAAATAAATTATTGCTGTAATACCCATTTTACCCTTTTAGTCTTTTGAAAATGCCCATCCTTCTTTCTCTACTCTCTGCCACCAACTCTCCTCCCACAATCGTCTTCTTTTTCTTCAACCATCGCTTGATGGTACAACCTCTTCCTCTCACACCATTCATGTGATACCCCCGGATTTCCGAATGCGGGTTGGCCAGGCCCACGCCCGAATACCCGAGGATATCAAAACAAATTGATAATAAACGAACACAGAGTACAAAAGAATAAAGAAGAATAAATAAAATGCTGATAAGAAACTAAAATAATAATCTAATAATAAACCTCATAATATATTTCCATTAATTAATAAACTCTTCTGATACAACTGATCCTCCAAAATACAACTCGAGAATCCATACTGTGTGGACCCCTAGAAAATTCAAACTAAACAAATGACAGTAATCTAAAACAGGAAACTGAATCATAAAGGAACTCCTATGTAGCATCGGAAGAATGAAGTAGACTGATCCTCGCTCAGCACGAACAACCTCTACTCATGACGAACACCTGAAAAATAATGATGGGTCAGACCCACAAACAAGTTCTACTCTACTACAGTCCAAGCAGAGATCCGATACACGTATACATCCTAGTCAATCCAACAGTAACTAGTAGTTCGTATATATATATATACACACTAAAGGAACCTCACTAGACTATAGGGTTGTCTCAACCTGAATAGTAGGTAACATGCAAAACGCACATATAGTGGGCATGAGTACCTAGACCTACCAAAGTACACAACTACACTATATCTAGCTACACATCCCTGGCGATATACGCGCCCTAACCATTGATCCTGAGACTCAAGCTCATATCATGGCACCATACTTATATATATATAATCTAGTAACCATCCTATCCAGTATAAATTAATCCTCCATAAGTCATTCAACTTGTTCAGCTAACCTGACTTGAATATAAGTAGGACTTAACATTTTAGTTAATCCATTCTCTTATATAATAAATTAATCCTCCATAAGTCATTCAACTTGTTCAGCTGACCTGACTTAAATATAAGTAGGACTTAACATTTTAGTTAATCCATTCCCTTATATAAAATAGGTAAGACTTAACTGATAAGTTAATCCATCCCTAGAATGCCACTGTCCCATACCGGTGCATTAAACCACACAATCCAACAATTGGTGTAACAATTAAGGAAATACATCAAACATTCCATAAATAACTATGATAAATATGATATCAAGTTACACATAATAGGAATGACTTATTATTTCTTTAAACTTCCTATATCATATGTCCTACACAAACTGAATCTTATACATGATGATATTTTATTATACCGTTAAATAAGGATTCTCTATATCCAATTCATCCTACACATTTAATCTCAATTGCTAAAATATTTTAAAAGATTAAATCCATTCGTTTGTTTAAAACATTCAAATAGCAAGCATCATTATGATTGAGTCTATTTAAATTTATTAAAACCCAAACCTAGTCCCTATCTAATGTTCAGGAATCCTAGGCATGTTTCTACGTTCCATCATTTCACAGATATGAAAAATACATAATTTAAACATGTAAAAATTTACATAAGAAATCAAATCAAAATCATGCATTTTATCAATTCATAACACAAGAACAAATATGAACTAATTTCATAAAACCTATGTTCTAACCCAATTAAACATGCATAATTATTTAATTTTATATGTTTAATAAATCCTGGAATTTCCTAGGCATGTACAGAAACACGAATCAAAAAGAAAGAGATAGAAGAAGAACTTGCCCTAAACTTTCGGATCGAAAGTTAAACTTCTTCTTCCTTGATCTTCTCTCTACAGAATTTTTCTCCTCATTCCTTCCTTTTCCTCCTTCCCTCTCTAACACTATCTCTCTAGTATATATTACGTGAATATTTCTAACCCCTTTTTACAACCTATAGCTATATATTTATAGGCTAAATAAAATAACCCTAACCCTTTTCCCAATCCAAGTCAACTTAATAAAGAAAAATAAAAAATGAAAATATTAAAAAGGTAACTTAAAATATGTTACGTATATAATCTATGTATATCCTTATTAATTAAATAAAATATATACATTAGATTATTTATTAATACTAAAGTTACCATAATATTAAAAGGTAACTTAAAACATGTTACGTATATAATCTATCTATATCCTCATTAAATAAATAAAATATATACATCAGATTATTTATTTATACTAAAGTTATCATAATATTAAAAAGGTAACTTAAAACATGTTACGTATAAAATATATGTATATCCTTATTATATAAATATATAAAATATATACATCAGATTATTTATTAATACTAAAGTTACTATAATATTAATAAATTACTTTCCTTTTTATATATATGTATATACATATATATCTATATATATACATATACAACTATCCATGGGTAATTATCCATACCCATCCAACCTTCTATCCAAGTAGTTTATGGGACCCAATTAGTTAGCCCATTACCACTAACCATAACCATAAAATAAAATAAAATAAAACATTTAATCATTTAATTTACAATTAATTACAATTAATCAAATACATCATTTAAGCACCCAATCTAATTAAACAAATAATACAAATAACACCTAGACAAAATACAAATAACACATAGATAAGTAGTCAATTAATCAAGTAACACTTAATTCAATTAAACACATAAACAATTAGTCAAATAATCAATTAAACAATTAAAAAAATACAATAAAAATAAATAAATAAATACCGAGACTATCCTTTTAAAATTAGGGGTATTACAATTCACCCCTCAACTCCACCAATTAATCTCATCTATATATATATAAACACACACATATATATCTATACACACACACACAATCTCATCTATATATATATATATATATATATATATATATACACACACACACACACATACACATACACGGCGGCTGCAAATCAAGGTACCACCGGCAGTATCAATGGCTTGTGGGTTGTGGATTAGAGGTGGTTGGATCTTGATGCAAAGATTCGTATTGGTTCCAATCAAACCCTAAGAGCCATTCATCAATACCAACGGTGCTCCTTGCCACAAAACCCTAATCGTTTGTGACAACTTGAATTTTTAAGATTTTAATTTTTATTTCATGATTTTTTAGTCAAGGTTGATTATTTAATTTTTTTTTTGAAGATTTATCCAATTGAAATTCATTTGTGTTACATTATAAATATATATATATATATATATAATGTCTAATGGATTTATGAAGGAAAATGTGGCAGCCGAAAATGCAAAGAATAATGGAAATGATTTTTTGTTTCGGGTCCCACTTAAATGATGTTTAGGTGTTGATTTGGTTTTTGTTGTATTAGAATATATAATGTATATTGTATTTTATAGTTTCAGAGGAGATAAAGAGGCAACATGGGTTCTGCCGAAATGTGATTGAAGGAAAAGAAATTGTGATCATATTGATGGTTTGATGGGGCCCACTTGGAGTTATTTAAATGAGGTTGAATTGGTTTTGTAATATATATATTATGTATGCTAAAGAGAAGATAGAGATTAGTATGGTGCATCTGCGAAATTAAATGATAAGAAAAAGGTGATTGTGATTGCAGGACCCACGGCTAGGAATTGTTTGGCCAAAATTCCTTTAGCTTTGTCCTTTCACCTGGGCTATTTGTGGATTTGTGTGGTGAGGGTTGTTCTATTGGTGGAATATTGCCTATATGTATATTGTGTATCTTGTGACTTTGGGAATGATACAAAGAGTGAATGATATTGAAATCACACAATAAATCGAGAGTTCACAGAGAGAGACGAGAGTTTGCAGAGAGTGAGCTGAGAGTTTGAGGACAGAGAGAGGTCCGAGGTTACAGAGGAGGCTGGAGGCTTGAAGCTTTGATGATCTAGTGAGGAAAATTCTTTTTCAGGGTAGGGGTTCCTAATTTATGAAATTTCTTATTCCTTTGTGAGTTTCCATCTTGAATTATTGTTTAGCATGCCAATTTAAGTTGAATTTTTTCTAAAATGATTAGATTATTGTAAATGAAGTATGTGGCTATATGTTTAGTTAAAATTGTATGCTTGTATAAATTAATTTCATGTTCTAAATGTTTACTATATTTGATTATTGATGAATGTAAGCATTTTGTAATTTTTTTTTTTTGGAAATTCTTGTAATGCATGCTAAGTGGTTTGGACTTGAATTAAATGTATGATTATGAGAATTGACATAACATGAAATGGTATAATACATTCATGCATAAGCATTGGGAAAAAATGGGAAAATGATTTAAAAAAGAAAGAAAATAATTTTGGGAAAAAGATTTGATAAAAAGATTTTGTGAAAACCTGGACGTCAAGGGGGTACCGAGGGTCCGTGGGGTTAATGTGATCTAGAGGGAACTAGGGTAAACCCCTAGCGTGGTTGAGCTATCTGGGCCCCAAATGACGCCGCGAGGCTACCAAGAGTCTGGGACAGTGGCCAATCATTCTTTCATGTCGCCAAGGGGGTATCGAAGGACAGGTTACATTAACAGTTTGAAAAGTGATGAATGAAAGTGATTTTGAAATGGGAGCGACATAGTACGTCGTTGCATTTCATAGCACGACATTATTTGTTTTTAGCCTTCAAATTGTATTATATTCTTCCTCGGTATAGTATAATCCTATTTCCTTTATTTCTATTTATTGTTTGGATTCATGGGGTAACAAGAGGTGTGTCTTAGGCACTATCTACTGAGCTTTATGCTCAGCCTATTATTTAACATTTTTCAGGACATGTGAAAGAAGTGGCGGGTGACGTTCCACCACAAGCCTAATTTGGATTAGAGGATCATTTTGCTATTTTTGTATCTAAGTCCCATCATTTTTTTTTTTTGTAAAATCTTACTTTTTTATATTCGATATAGAGACTTATGGACTCTTGTTATTGTAATTATATTCATGGGCAATAACTTTAATATAAGTTGTCTAAACGTTGTAAGACATGGACTTTTGATCTTAACCATAATTTTTTGGACTGTAACTATGATATTTGGACTAAATGGTATCAAAGCATTTTATGAGAATTTTCGGGTCGTGACATCATCAGTTTCGCCATCGTGGGTAAGACGACCTATCTTCGCCGTAGATCGAAGATTTGCGTATTGGGGAGCACCTTTGCAGATAGAGAGAGTATGTCGAAATGGCCATGGAAGGTGGACTCTAGCTGCGGGAGTGGTCAAGGCTTATTTGAGATTTTGATCCCCGGCACATAGATCAATATTCCTTCTCCAGCAGAACCGCGATGGTGAGTAATTTACTGCCGACGGCCACATCGGTGAACCGTCTTAGGGAATCGCCGATTAGCACCCCGATCATGGAAGTGGTCTTCGTCATTTATAGTTTGATTATAGGTGGTGGGTCTTTGGGCTCATTGCAATAGTTGAAGAAGAAGAAGGGTAGGTCTTCGTCACCACAATCCGATGAAGATCAAATCAGTCCGAATTGATTCACAAAATTCCACAAACCCTAGGGTTCGAAATCGACGTATTGTTTGGTGAAGAAGATGCCCCTAAAGTGTAATAGGTTAGAAAAGGAGGTTGATCAATTCAAGGAAGCTCGGAGAAATGGTGGTAACGGTGGTAGGATCCCCAAAATACATAATATATATATATATATATATATATATATATATATATATATATAGTGAAAATTAAGGTTTGTGATTTGTAAAAAAGGAGAGATAATATGGGGTTGGTGGCCTTGGTGGTAGAGAATAGAGAGAAATGGTGGCTATTGTGGAGCTTTGCGGTGGTGGTATGGAGGATGAATAGACAAGAGGTGGTGGTGTGCAAAACGAGTCACTGTTTATTGTCCTTTTTAGTCTTTTTACAAAATTTTGTATTTTTATATATTTTATAAAATTGTTGACTAAGGGTACTTTAGTCAAGTTTGATTTTAAATGTGCCTGAGGGACTTAATTGCACCAAATTAAAACTTGAGATTGTTTTTTTGTACATGACCCTACATTATTATTACCAAAATTTGTACTATCCTTTATATTCCCCAAATATAAAGTAAATTCCTATCATCACGCTTGTTTTAAACCCCGAGAAGACAATAATGTAAGGTCCATTTATCAATTTATTTATATAAGAATCTGAAAGCAGTGAAAAATAATTATAAAAATATAAGAATCTGCAAGATAATTAACCTTTTTTTTCTCTTTTTTTGTGAAAGGACTAGGTGAAAAAACTCTGCACACGGAGAAGCATACGAATGATTCTTAGCCAGAAACCCTATTTTAACCTAGAAAAATGTCAAAAATAAGACCACGTTGCTATGTAAAATGCAGACAACTTGGTGGGTATTTTTGTAATTCTAAGAAAAATTCAAAAATACCATGAGTTGCTCAAATATGAAATTTGTCAGTTGGTGTGTTCTACTCAGCACTGGACATTTTGGCAGTCCAATTGTCATTATTTGACCACAATCCTCTCTCTTTCTCTCATCCTTACAATATATATAATGAAACAATCATCAATTTACCCTATTTTAGCTACCCTTCACCCTAGTTTGTGCAGCATATGTCATACAAGGTCATCATCACCATTCCTACAAATCATATAAATCACATATATTTCTATCCTATATATGCTTCTTGCTTCGTGTTTCGATTCATGTATAATCTTTGCTACTTTTTACAATGTATGCCAACTTATTATTTCTACATTTTTAGAAATGTGTTGTTGTACTTGAATGAATTGAAAGTTCAGCTTGAATTAAAATCTTAAATTCCATTTGGTTGCTGAGAAAACAGAGGTAATGAACAACTTGGATTTCACATTGGCCAACACATGGTGTTTGTGAGGTTCCCGCGTTTTTTTCCCCTCTATATATATGTGTGTTCTCAACCACCAAATTAAGATTTTATTTTATTCTTCATGCTACATTTAGATATCTTATACCCATTCTTCTTCTTCTCCAAAATTCCCCAACACAGAAGTTTTCACACAAGCTCCCAGCTCCTAAATCATCTTCAGCCTCCTTGTTTACAAAGTTTTACACCCTTCTCCAACACAGAAGTTTTCACAAGGAATTAAATTGTTAAATTGTTCTTTAATTTTTTTTTTTCCAACTTATTACAATGTATGCCAACTTATTATTTCTACATTTTTAGAAATGTGTTGTTGTACTTGAATGAATTGAAAGTTCAGCTTGAATTAAAATCTTAAATTCCATTTGGTTGCTGAGAAAACAGAGGTAATGAACAACTTGGATTTCACATTGGCCAACACATGGTGTTTGTGAGGTTCCCGCGTTTTTTTCCCCTCTATATATATGTGTGTTCTCAACCACCAAATTAAGATTTTATTTTATTCTTCATGCTACATTTAGATATCTTATACCCATGCTACACAGAAGTTTTCACAAGGAATTAAATTGTTAAATTGTTCTTTAATTTTTTTTTTTCCCCGGAAATATAAGGAATTCAATCTCTTATTTTTATATTGCTGCAGAAATTACGTTTTTGGAAGCAGGTATATGTGATCTACAGCAGCTTCTTCGTTCTCAAGATCATAGCTCATATGGTCACTTTCTTCTTTTACTGCATTGTGCTTCCATTGACCATTTTGGTTCCCGAAGTTTGAGGTCCCAAAATGGGGAGCCATCTACATGCCTTGCATCATCACCACTTTGAATGCTGTTGGAACCCCAAGATCTTGTACACTTTGAAATTTCCTTTTTCACACATTATATATATAATAAAATAAAATAAAATAAAGAAAAGCTATTGTGCAAATAACAAAGTGAAACTTGCACAGATATACCATACATATATCGAAGAGGCACACAATGCAAACATAATCCATTTAGAAGAAAAATAGAAGAAAAATGCAGGGTTCGAGTCATGGAGACTTTAACCAAGATCTCACAGACTTAAACCAATATCTCACAGAAGCTATAGTGCAAATAACATAGTGAAACACAAATCTAAAGAAGAATCTAAGCTCTGCGGTCATCTATGGACTGGAAAACAGAAGACAACGTCAGTGCAAATGCAACAAGACACACAACAGTGGCCAAAAGGCCCCAAGCAGCAGCGGCTCCATGGCCTGGAAGTGCAGGAGCGGGTTCATGGACAGGAGCAGCACAGGAGCAGCAGCAGCAGCTCCATGGCCTGGGGTGATGGACTTTCCAGCTGCTTTGCGCAGCCTCCCCAACCTTTGAATTTTTGATTTTGTTCGCCTTCCGGAAGCTTTTTCCCCCATTGTTGTGTTTTTCTTAACTACCACCTGAAAAATAAAGGAAGTCGATCAATTGAAAAATATGTCCCCTCCTGTGTTGAATCCCATTACATCGCTTTTGCAACAATTTCACCACATCCCATTACTTCGCTTATGCAACAATTTCACCACAATATAGTGTGTTGCATTAACAATCTACATGATTCAACAGGGTAAACAAGCAAACAAGTTTTTTGAGGAGCATGTCAAACTAGGTTCAGCTCACCTGATAAATAAGGTGCATTTGATGTTTCAGCTCTGTATAAGCTAGCAAAGCTAGCAGAAGCTTATTGATGGCATAAATGTGCAGCAACTAACGGCTAGAGGTCATTTATAAATGAAGATCAGAAGAAAAAAAAAATGCTACAGCAGTTACTCTCAAAAGAATCTGTAACACACATCAAAATGGCATGGGAAATCACAACCTTCAGAAACAAAAACCAATACTTCATTATTCCCATTTGGAGTTCATTTACAATAAGCTACTCATGTTCCGCATCAAAATATAATACAGCTAAATTATGAGTATTCCAGAACCCACATTAAAGATTGGGGAATCAAGTGACGACAAATTCTCCAGAATCTGTAACACACATCAAAATGGCATGGGAAATCACAACCTTCAGAAACAAAAACCAATACTTCATTATTCCCATTTGGAGTTCATTTACAATAAGCTACTCATGTTCCGCATCAAAATATAATACAGCTAAATTATGAGTATTCCAGAACCCACATTAAAGATTGGGGAATCAAGTGACGACAAATTCTCCAGAAGCTATTCTCTACAGAATATAATCATCTTTCCCCCACCAAATCAAAAGCCAATAAACAAGTAATTCATATCAACCTTTGAGAGTACAGACCCTTTTCACCTAATCTGTTTGAGATTTATATACAAGTAGACACTAATCTTTCCAACTAAATAAATTAAATAAGTAACCCAGAACCCATACTAAGGGATATTTCAGATTGTCAAAGAAATACGATGAAAGTTGGCCAAGAATCACCTTCTGATTGTTAACAGCTCCTATTTGGGGTAAGTCAATTAGTACTTAATCCTGCATAGTGAGAGAAGGACACCGAGTACAACCAAAAAACGCACACCACCACTGCACTACAACCACCTCTAGCGAAGGCAAAAGCATCAAACCATCCAATTAACCAATACATGACAAGCATAAAAAATCAAAAACAGAGAAGCTACGTGGAATTTAATACAGGAAAGGAACAGGGAATTTTGGTTAACTAATATCTATATATAATAATCCAAAAGAACAGAAAAGAAAAAGGAAACAAAGATTCACCATTGTTCATCCATCATCCATCAATCTTCAGACAATATATATAAATTAAAAATTAAAATAGAAGGTTTAACATTGGTATGGAAATACTCCCTAATCACACGAACAAAAAAATCAAGAAAAGAACATTCATCATTGGGCAGGAGCAGGAAATTCAAACCAAGTGTGTTTCTATAAAATAAAAATAAAAAAAAAAAATCTCTTGCGAGTCTGACCGTTAGTATAGACAGTCAAGAAAAGGATGAAGCAGAAACACCATATGAGTATATAAAACAGGTCAATGATGTCATTGTTTCTTTCTTAATAGATTGTTTGTTTTAGTTTGGAGAGTAAATTAGGTGGTGGCTAAAGGGCCAAACTTGTAATGAGAGTTTTTATCACTTTTGCAGTCTTTATCTATTTCTCTATATCATTTTATGGAACTCTTATTTGATAGCCTCAAGGATTTGTTTGGCCTTTCGTCTGAATTCAACATATTTTGCTAACTTGAGTGCCCCTGCAATCTTCTACAGTGACAGAATTCACTAAATTACTCATCAATTTCCAGACATTTTCCTATTTTGACCATGCAACCTACTTGATAATGTGACATCCCACATCGTCTAGGGAGAGGGTTGTCGACACTTGTATGTATGAATGTCTTCTAATTGAGTAGACATGTTTTGAAAATCGGGAACACACAAACAGGGTTGTTAACACTTATATGTATAAATGTCTTCCAATTGAATAGACGTAATTGACAAAAATTAAGAAATTCCCAAACTCACTCCCAAGAAATCCAAATCCTAAATCCTAAAAATGACTATGCTATGCAAGCCTTAAACTTCAAACTTTTTTTAATTCAGAATGTGACACCTAGAACCCTTGATTTAACCACCTTAAAAGTCCAATAAAAGAAAACCAATCAATACATTCATTGGTGGCTAATATGTGCTAATGGCTTATTTCAAACGCCTTCTCAACTTTTGAATAAACATTTAGGTTTTTAATCATTGCATGCATCAAATTTAGTGTCCTCCATGATATTCATTAAGCATAGTCTGCCATTATTAGTAATCTATCTTTCTCTAGGAGGGAGGCCATGAGGAAACATGTTGATTACTCACTTTTCATGCCTGTGATATGAATTATGTTTCTTCTAATACAAGTGTTAATTACTCCGTAGTATTTGGATAAATCTTTCACTTTTCCTAGTACCAATGAGACAGAAGGATAAGGTCACAATTATAATCTTTAATGTCAATAATCCCCAAATATGTATATAATTATGTAAAATTATTTTAACATGTCACTTTTTCAGGTTTCTTGACAGGGAAGGCCAAATCTCTTTGTTTAATTTAAACCAAACAAAAGTTGACCACAAACTTCTTT